TTTTTAATAGCAAACATCGCCCCGCGTCGAAAATGAGAAATCTTCTACTCATCATCATTACTCGATAAGGAAGCGGTGCCTTAGGCTTATTATTTATCATTTATATCGTCTTTTGCCCGAAACCAGTTCCCAGTGCCTGCTGCAAACGATCGGGTCTGCGTCCGCGGCAATTTAAAACGATTTATCGCGCGGAGTAACTCCTTATTATGGATCGCTTAATGCGGATAGTCTTAACAATACACAAAAGCAGGGGTTGTATCGGGTGAGCCCCGGCGCGGGTGGGAGTTAATAGAACCTCGTTGTTACGGGGAGGAAATTCGATAATCGCTCGGCATATACTCGGCACGCACACAAACGCTTGCCCCCTCCTTCCGCGTCGATTTCGCGCCGCCTTGGAGAGAACTTTGACTAAACGGCTCCACGCTTCCTTAACCTCCCCATTAATCAATATTATATCGCCCAGAACGTTCCTTTGTTTATTGACTGTCAGCTAATAGGTTTTCGGTGCCTCGACATCGACGAATTCGCCCGCGACGACGCTGACAAAAACCGGGGAACGCTTACGATCCTCCCCCGTGTTCGGGAGGGGAGCGATTAGGTGCTTTCGCCCCGCGTTCAAAGAGCCTCGTTGTGTAAACGGTGTAAACTACTTTGCTGTCGCGGGCGTCGTTGCACCTGCGAGAAAATTACTTCGCCCTTCCTACGCTTTGTTCTGCGCTGATCGAACGCTCGCGGTCACGATAACGATAATAAATTTCAACCCTTCGCGGAACGGAAGAAACGGGAACCCCAAACGTAGACGGGAGCTGAATTAACGCGAACATCGTCACTCGACGTCAGTCATGGGCCCCTTCGAGCAACTTTCGGGATCTTTCTCGCGACTTCTCGGTACCATTCTCCTTATTCTTTCTTTTTCAAAGCTTTTCATTCAATTGACGAGACCTCCAACTATTACCACTTAGTTACGTAGGTTTCAATTGTCTGAAAACAAAATTTTATTCTTATCGAAATGTTTAGAAATATTCATGCGATAAAAGAAGAGACTCGAATCCAACGAGCCTAAGGAGGCGATGTCAAAACCAAGAGAGATGATCCCGTGATCTATAATTATTCACGAACACGGATATCTCGCGAAATTAAAATGCAACCGCCGAACCGCTTTGTGGTGGATGCTGGAAACGTCTGTCGAAAGACGGACACGGAGCACGAATATTGCTAAATTTAGGGCAGCCGCAATTAGGCGCACACTCTTTCGCATTTAATTACGTTCCTCGTGAACCTCGCTGGGTACACGACGGTGTTGTTAAACGTCGCTACGACTTAATAGTGCCGGTCATTTGCGTTCGAGCAGCTGAAAAATGATTCTCGATAGCAGTTTTTTATCACAATCGTAGACACATTAAATTATAAACCTCAAAATTAATTAATCTAAATATTTGAACTTCATAAACATACCAGAATAATGTTAAAATCACTGATAATTTTATCTCAAGTAAAAAATTGATCCTTGACTTCTTCTCAACATCAACTACGTTGCCCCATTTCTGTCAAAGCATCTCTCTTCCCCTGAAATAATCGTTTTCCAGAGAAAGATGAATACCATTTTACTCCCACAGCCCGTTGCGCGTGACGATTTCGTACTTAATTACACCGTAATGCACAATTTGCCGGAGTGGGGTGATAATGAATTGTAAACAGCGTTCGCGTCGACACGTGCCTGGTGTCTTGGTTGCTCAACCCGCGGAGGAAAGAACGCTAGCCGTGGTTTGCGTTGCTGAAACCCCGAGCGACGCTCCTCGTTGCTCGATTTCACCGAGACGTTTCGGTACCACCTCTTTTCGGACGTGTAATTACGTCCCCGAACACACGCCGTGGATATGGAGTGAAAGTTACGCGGGAGTCTACTTTAGGTGTTAGGTGCACCTAATACTGGCTGCGAATATAATTTTTGGCTGGAACAAAAAGATTGAAAGATTAGGCAAAGCCAATCAATGTGATGTTATTGTATTAATAATTCTTCTTAACGAAGAAGTTTGCAGCGAAGAAAAATGTTGCGAAGCATGCAGACGTGAAAGTGTTGACGAAATTATTTATGGATACTCCTGGTAATTAAAAAGGCAGCTGCTTCCACTTCCATGGAAACGCAAAAATCAATTTGCTAAATCCGAGGAGAGACGCCTAGCTCGGCATCGCCTCGAATCCTCAATTACAATCCACGCGACGCCGAAACAATCCCCCGAAGGGTGGTAAACCCGGAAAACGAGTGAACCCGCAAGAAAACCGCCCAAGGGAGAACAACTCTCCGCCGTTGCCGATTCGCCGTCAGTCACCGCGACTTAAACACGAGGAACACCGTTTTAAAAGGGGTTTTAGGAGGAAGACACCCCTCGCAGGTAACGGCCTCGAGGACAGGGTAAGACGACGTGGCGCGAGGGGGCGTCAAGAGAAGGGAGGGGGGGCGGGATGACAACAATTCTTTTCCGCGACGGCGGAGGACCGCGGCCGGGAAATTAGCATCGATAAATTTTCCGTCGCGTCGTTCCGCGTTGTCGTCGGCGACGTCGACGACGACGACGACGCTGGCGACGCCAACGCCGCGCATATAGCGCCGGGAAAGTGACACGATGATGCATAGGCGACTGTTTTAAGAATTATTTATTATTTATTGCCGGCGAAGGAGCAGATTTTTTCGTCGCGTTTGACGCCCTTCGGAAAATGCCGAGAATGGCGTATGTTGTATGCTTTAATTGAATTCCACGGATGGTATCGCTTTATCTCGAATTTTAGATTCCTAATCTTGGACGTTTCTGGTGCAAAGTTGTAATCGTTTAATTCAGTGCGATCTAAATACATTAAATGTCGACAAAATTTAGAATCTAGTGAAAAGAAAAGAAATTTTTCCATCGAGCGTCTAGAATAAAATTCTAAACACCTTCGAACCCTTGAACCCTCGAACCCTCGTTAAAGCTACTGCACCAATTTACCAGCTGGTTCCGCGATGAAAATTGCCGGAAGTTCTCTTTGAGAAAAAAGATAGCCGAGGAAGGCAGATTTTCAATCCGATGTGCCCAGAAGAGTAAGATTCCAGGACAACAAGATTCGTGCTCCAGGAACCGGGGCAGAATTTCGCGGGGGAAGCGCGCGGGCCGGTAGTTAAAAGTTACAAGATGATTCGTTGAGTAATCCCAGACCGTTTCCAGACGGTTGCAAATTGCAATCGTGAACGCCGCGATAATTGTCGCGCCAGTTTGCGTAATGACAATTTTCATCGTGTCGTCACACGCCGCCTCTGGAGGGAGGGGAGGGAGAAATGGTAATAGCCCTATTGCATCTTTCGAGGCACCGTCATTACTACGAATAGACCACTCCGATCTCCGAATATTCTGCCAAACATTCTTACGCTACGCGATACAACAAACCATACAATAAACGTGCTTTTACAGGACGCGCCATTGCAGAGGCCAAGCTAAGCTAATTAACGGGGTAGAAACCCATTTGGTACTTGAGAAGAATATTAAGAATTATGAACGAAAGTGCTAGATGAATTTTACAATTTATAGTTTTATCACACCGTCTATTTACTTATTAATGGAGTAGAGAGGCTTTCGTAACCTCCCCAAAGTCACGAATCTTATTTCAGATTCATTTTCACTATCGCCTCAGCTTCGAGATTAATTCGTTAGATCCTTAATGAAAAGTCATTCATTTCTGAGTGACCGTAAAAATTCGAATATCGTCCACAGACGAATTCCAACGCTTGATTGAATTACGAGAAGGCTGTCTCCTGTTATTCCGATAATCTTTCACGGCGTGCCAACCAACCTGTAGACGAGTTTTTCTTCCAAGTTCCTCCGCTTAAAAATATACCAATAAAATCGAGGTTTTATTACACCTGAAATCCCTTCTCTCTAGCCTCACATTCCCTTCTCTATCGTTCTACTTCCATCTATCCTGCTATTTCTGAAATTATCTCATCGTCACGTATCTTTACCTTTCTGAAATTCCTCTCTATCTTCCTTGTCCAAGCGTTGTTAACGGCGTTCGTTCCGCGATGTCCGTTTTCTTGGCATGTGAGCTTCCTGTTTCGTCGGGCTATGGAAACAAAAAAAAAAAAAAAAAGAAGAGAAAATAGTTCTGAATATGCCACCGTTATTCAACTCCAGAAGAATACATTTGATCGCGCACATTCAACGCGGTAGGTGTAAACAGAGAAAGAAAGCGGTACGTTGTTTAAAAAGAGTACTTTAGCACGAACAAAACCCGACGCTGTGTTTGTCCGCTGGAAACGCGTCCTGGAAGGAGGAAAGAAACCATTTACATGCTACTCGACAGGCAATATTGAGCGCAGACGCCGTTAACTTTAACCGCCCGGCCAAACCATTCTCGCTATCGCAAAAACAATTAATGCTCGTTAAAAGAAATCCTTGATTTACCGTTAAACAGTGGTACCAGGGTCGACAATAACCATTGTCGGCGCGCAATTCGCCTTCAGCGAGGACTTTTTAGCTCCAGCTCTGGAAATCATCATAATAAATAAGTCGCAACGGTTTACAGCTCATAGAGGAGTGACAATTCCCGTACGCTTTGGCCCAGTTACGACTGACCCCTCTTCGGAAGTTCGTTAAACGAACTGGAAGATCTGTTAGGGATCGGAAGAGATACTTGGATGAATTACAGTTACCGGCACTATTTTTGAGGTCGTAACCGGGAGGTGAAGTTGAAACTTTTTTTATGGAACGTGACTGACGTTCGTAATTGTATCAATCTTCGGCAGGAACCGTGAATGGAAGTCTTGGACGAATGCATTAACGCTGGAAGAACCAAACCCGTCAAACTGACGGATTTCAGATTTCCAATTTGATGTTGGAAGAGACATTGACGCGCTGGTTTCTCGTTGGAATTTTACTTTTGTAGCGATTCGTTTGCAACGTTCATCCGTCCATTACGAATTTTTATTTAACCAGTAACAGACAAAAAATTATTTATTTTTCCTACGATCATATTCACCAATAACATTAATAATCATTCGTCGTCAGCTCAAATTTGTGAGCAGGTTTAATCGACGATAACGCGACAGGTTAATCATATGCGAATCTCTCGAGTAATCAATCGCGTGAATTATTTGAAGTTCCATTACATGTCGTACCTCGGGCGTAATTTATGTATGGTCACCGCCACGTTCACGAGTAGCCAATTCTCGAACGAACGATTTTCTAACAGATGGATACAATAGCTACTGTCTGGTTTGCTCGTTTCTAAGATTTAAGTCCGTCGGACTTTTATTTTTGGGGTCAATTAAAGGATTTGTTTTTTCAGCGCCCATTACCACTGTTGAGATACTTTACCAATGTGTACGAGGTAGTTGCTAACGAACCTGGACAAAATACTTGGAATGGTTGAAAGATTGAGACCGCAGTCGCGTATTTATCTCGATAATGGCCATTCCGAACATTTTCGCTCTGTAATTTTTAACTGTAAATTTGAACTCTGTAGACATTTTCACGAGTACAGCAGCCGATGTGTCAACGAATCCTAGAAGCTTTCGAGCAACAAGGGTGGATCGGAGTAACAACAGACGAGATCCTCCGCAATGTTGCGCAGGGGGGAAAACTCTTCAGACCCCATAGATCAATGGGTTCGTAATTATTGTAAGTTCATTAGAGCCAGCAGGTTCCCACCTCCTGTTTCTTCCTGGCCGACGGTTCTCCATCTTCCCCCACCTTCGGAAGAAGTCTCCGTGGCCCGAAAACCCCTGTTGGCGGACCTGAAATTGCGACATTCCGCGCGAAACGCCGAAACTATTTGACTCTGTAATTTGTGATTGTAGTTTATTGCGCGGATAGACTAACGGACCGTCGTTGCAACGCTGTTGCTCAACTCCCCGCAACGATTCCTTGCAATTTCGGGCTTGGAATTCCTACGGAAGCCTGGGACACGCGCGGGCGTTATGGATTGCAGCTCTTTGAAACTTCTATTGGTCCTGAAAGAGTGAGCTTCGTCGAAGCATAGCTGAAATACGTTGCCTGAAAATATTTTCCACGTAGCCTCCCATCTTTCTTACGGAAGCCGCAGTTTCTGGATACGATGACCTGGAAACGCAAAGTATATTTCAAGGAGACAAAAGAACTTTTAATTCTAATTTATTTTAACACGTTCGCGACCGGTGACGTGAATTCACGTCGCTTCAAATTCTATTCCTGATTATGAAAAAATTACGAAAACCTTTTTATCTTACACGCTAGTTATTTACAACATTGATATTTGTGTTAATATAAAAATATTAAATATTTCTCTGATCATTTAGTATCTGTATTCCTCGCGTGTTTAAGTACACGATTCCGTATGTGCAGCAGCAAACTGTTGCGTTTGTTTATAAATTTTCATTAATCAAGTTCTTTATTAGCTACATAAATTGTTAATGGTTTCATTTCTACATGGAAATTCACTAAACTGAATTTATTTTGCTTCACTTCCTTTAATTCCATACGTCTTCCCTTACTTCTATTCAGAATTTATATACCTTAATCCGATTTTGCGCAATTACGCTAACGAGAGTGACGAGTAACAACGAATCGAGATGAAGAACGATAGAGGAGAACAGGATAGAAACAGAGCGAAGCCAAATTAAAAGTGATTTCACTTCACTCGAGTCTGTCCTCTTCGATCGCGCTTTATTTCGTTTTATGCATGTAAAATAATCTACTTCGCTTACGTAAAATAATATGGAAGGATTTTCAGCACTTAGAAGTGATAATCTTCATCCCGTGTAACAGACACGTTAATTAACTGCAGTATTCATGAATTCATTTCCCATTTATCAGACTATCGCGACATTGAATTTTATAATTCGGTACACAATATTTAACCAGCAGAGCAAGGCAGTTAACGATGCATACACGAAAGTGATTAACTTGCATGTAAAAATCGAAGTAATAATTAAGCTGTTTGGATTGTGTACTCTCTCACATTTTCAGGTTTCGAAGATCACCTCAATCACAAGCTCGAAACGTACATTAATACCCTTCGTTTTTTCCTCCAGTTTTTGACAGCTTCCAAGCATTTTCCTCGAGTCGACGAAACGTAAACATCGACGTGATCGCCGATCGCGGAATTTTAACATCGAAATATAAGCATCGAGCAAGGAATTACCGCGGCCCAGAAACGAAGGAAACGATTGCAGCCCGGTGCAATTCCTATTGCATTTCTATTTCGCTCAGAAGCGAATTAAAGAGACCGTAGTTGTCCGCGTAATTCTTGTTACAAAAGCGTCCACGCAGCGGGCATTATGCCTAGTCCTCAGCCCGCTCGTAATTCCGACGCAGGTTTTTCCGTCGCGGTAATCTTCGTAACGATGCCGGGAGTGCTGTAATACGGTGAATTACTGGATCAATGCGCTTTAAGAGGACCGTCTCGCCTTTCGAAGACAATGCCACCACCCCAAGGGGTGGGCGAGAGGGTGTATGGAATAATCTTGGGAAAATTTCAATCAGCGAAATGCGTCACACATTCGCGTCACCCCCTGCGCCCTCGAGATCGTAAATAAGCTGAGTTATGCCGCGAGACGTACAGATTTAAAGGCATCGAGTGAAATTACGCGCGGGCTTCCGATTGGTCGGCGCCCTCGTGTTTTTCGGGGGTCGGCGAAGGCTGAACTGAAGAAACAGCAGCGCGAGACAGCTTTTCATGGATCTAAGATCTGGGTGGGAAGTGGAAGCTTGCGTTCTTCGAATCGTCGAACAGTCTGTGCGTACAGAAGGTCGAAGAACGTACTCAGGAAAGGGGTAGTTATTTAAATTGGGTCGTTTTTAAGTTTTCTTTAACTCCTGGTTTGGTTTGTTTGCTTCGATAGCTGTTAAAGATGCACTCTAAGAATATTCCTCATAATTTACCTTAACACATTTCCCTTTAACCCCTTAATTCTGAGAGTTAAGTGCAAAAGAAAATGAAATGCTTGGAGTTCAATGAAATTACAAAGATAGGCTCACGATAAACGTTTGATTGTTTAGTTTCCTGTGAGCAAAATTTAGTTACGGTAGAAATTTTGAAGAGTATTAGTCATTGAAGGTGTTAGCGTAGGTCGGTGGTGGTCAGTTCCGACGACGTCCTACATTTCGATGAGAATCCGTCTTCGGGCTCGATACTTGGCGGTCCCCAAGCAGGTAGGCGCCAGTAAAGTTGCTGAATCCCAGAGGACCGACAGAAAGGAACCTCTGGAACGAGTTCGCGACGCGTTGGAAGCGGAATGGAGCGACGTAGCCAAACGCTGGCCGACAGGGTGGGACAGAGAAGGAGCTCGAGCACGGAGGAACGGGGAGGGACAGAGGCCGCACCCTTCTCGCGTGGGTCGCCGGATGTGACAGTCGCTCTCTTTAATTACTCACACGCATACGCGATGAATGGCCGCGTAAGAAACCGGCCAAGTGCGTCGCATACATTCTCACCCACACCCGCGCCACGGGCGCATTATGTTTTGCGCGTCTGCCCTCCCACAGGGCCACGCAATCACGTGGAGTCCTGCGGCTCCGATAAAAGGACGAAAAAGATCGCGAGTCCGCGAGCGGATCGAAGATCCGTCGGTCGAACGTCGCGCTTACCACTCGAGATCCTCGCTCAATGGGCCCCCACGAATCTGAATCACAACGGTATGAATACTCGCAGCCATTCATGCGAATCGCTTAATGCTGGTTTGCAGAATGGAATACTGATCGTCCGGACTCGCCATTGTGTGGATGGCTTCGCTTATTCTTCGATACATTTTGGTGGAAGAGAGAACAATTTGTACCTCGGCTCGTGGCTATCAGACTTTGTCACGGTATACTTTACGTAGCTCGTGATCGTTTGTATGAGCTCGGTGTTGCCATGGAATCTTTTTTAATCGTTTCTTCGTGGACTAAAACATGAAGTGTTTAAATAAACCCCAATCTGTACCGCTTAGATCCTCATTTGCTAAGGTAGTAGATATCAAGATCTGGGATTACGCAGTCGACAGACACGCCATAGGAGGCTGAAACTTTACAATAACGGATGTTTTACTACCGGCGCTATAGCCATTAACGGGTAATTAGAAACAGATGCCGAGCGAATCTTTTAACATAAAGCATAACCTTAATTCATAAAGCGCGATTACTCAGCGGCCGAGACGGCTGGAGGAGGCCGTACATCAGTGACACCTTCGAAACAAAAGTTTTAATTATTTATTAGCCGGGACACGCGTTGAATGCGGCATTTCACGGCCCAACCCCGTGGCGCTTCGTGCTTTATGTAGCTGGCCCCTTTCGCTACTTCCTTCGAATTGGGGGAATTTATCAAGGCGAGAGCATAATTCTAAGGTAATGGAGGATATCCGTTATTTTTATGCCCTTGATTCGTAATTCATCATTTTGTTTCTGCTGCGATAGCAACTTCCACGCGATAGAAATCACTTCGAGAATCATTTTAAGAGTAGCAGACACCCTGAAGTGGTAGTGGTTGTATGCTGTCAAGAGTAACACTTGAATAAACTCGTGTTGGGTGATTTGGAAATAGTCGAACTGCTGGACCTTCATATTTTACAAATAAGTTTTCTCCACAATTCAAAGAGCTTTTTCAACTGCTAAACGTAGAGCATCCTAGCCACAGGGCCTGTAAAATCGGTTCGATCGAACTGATCGCAGCATCTGCCGTAGCTCACGAGCGTGTAATAATTATCCACCCCCGCGAGAACGCCACGGCAGAAGTCTTAATTCAGTAATTAACCTAATGGAATGTATATAACAATTAGCCGGTCCACACAGTTCCGTTTCGCTACTCCGAAAGGGGGTGCGAATGGTTCCTCTTCTTCGCCCTTGCTACCCGCTCCCCGGCGTTCCATGCAAAGTGGAAACTTACCCCGCTGGAAAAGGAAAGCAACCACGATCCCGCGGGGTGGGGGTTCGGCTGTATCTCGTAATTACTAGCTGATAATTTATGTTTATGCGTCCGTAGGAGCCCCGGAGCTTACTTACCCCTTTTCCCGTACCCGAATGGGGTGCTCCGCAGAGTGTATTACTGCACATTCTTACGTACATGCAAGGGTTCGCCAGGGTTGAGGGTTTTTCAGTCGGGATACCAGTGGCGAAGGAGCCCCCCTATTCGTATTATACATCCTTAAAGTCCCTCAAGCCATTACGAGCCGTAGCCAAAATTTACAACCGTTTTCACACGTTACTGGAAGTTAATAGTCTCTACGGGAAAAGCGTGACCTGCCGCGCCGTCACTGCTGATACAATCCCAAAAATATATCCCGACTTCCTAATTGCATTATACGTAATACTCGAGTTTAAACGGCGATGGTACCTCCCCCGGTAAATTAACGCTGATAATTGAACCCATTTTAAACGCGTTTTCGCGTTGTTTCCTGATCTGGATGCGACGAAATCGATGGATAAAAATGAAGGTAAAAAAATTTGGGCTAATGGCAGAGATTAAGAGTGTCGCGAGGAGAATAACGGACAGAGTTCTCGAAGAGTTGCTCCGGTACTTTTAGAATTAAAGGTGGCCGCACACTCCAAGCCAGACCGCATTTCTTGCTATCCTTGCCATCCCTTGACCGCAGCGGTGGCAAGAGGGTTGTATACAGAAATGTGGCGGTGGCGAACATCTTGTGTTCACCGCAGGTATGGAATATTATGACAGTATAATCTCGTTACATTAACGAAGGACTAATTGAGAAATGAAAAAGGGAAACGATTTGGATCTAGAAAATTCCTCTTTCGTAATATCTTGCTCGTCGAAATAATTACGAGACGATACACGAAATAGATAGAAAGGATAACATTGGGTAACTGTCTGGTACATTTTGGTAAGAATGAAAAGGAAATGTAGACAATGTATTATTTCCTCGCAGAGTGCGTACATACTTTCTTCGCCTAAACTTCACTTCGTTTCTTCAGAAAATATACGAAAATTCTAGATGACCCAATAGCACGCGAAATTTAACGAGCAGTCCACGATTCGACCCGTTATATCGTCCGGAACTAATTGCGATCGTCAATTAGAGCGCACCAGCCGAAACGGCTGGGAGATATTAATTATCGATTGCCAGCGAGACTATGTCAGGTAGCTAAGTACT